GCATCCCAAAAAAAAAAAATGTACCATAGAGTAGCCACTGGTTAGACTTGTTCTTGACAGGTACTTCAAATCACTGGCATTTTTTCATTTATCCAATGCAATAAAATAAAAAAAAATGTTTAAAAAAAAAAATCATAATCATCTCTATTATTACCACATTAGGGAAAATTTGTATAAAATATTGTTTGACAAAACAGTTGCAGTATATGTTAAAGGAATATCTCAGCCTGCTAGCTCACTTGAGTCTAGCACACAAGTTGACCTTCCGTTCCACTTTGCACTTCATAAATTTGTACTTAACATGCGGTTCACAACCATGAGTATGAACGCCGATGTTTGCCAGATTGACCCGCAAGCAATAGAATATGTGTAGTATAAACACAGCCTATATTGAATATTAAATTATCATGCACAAATGAAGATACTCTCGAGGGAACAGTGGCGGTTGGACATTGCGTATGATTTGTTAACCCTAATGATGAGGGATCAAAATAATATGAATTGCTTTGAGAAGTTCAAAGGTCCTATGCAAACATTAATATTAATATGATTCAAAAACTAATATTGATATGATTTGTCACTTTTCAAGATTTATGGGCAATTTTTTCAAAATGCTAAATAGATTCGATTTTAAAAGTAAAAAGATAAATTAATAACTAATGGAATATAATAGTTGATCTGACATTAAAATCCTTCTAGCTACAACAAAGATACATTTTCAGTTAAATTTGAAGTACTTTAGGTATTCAAATTAAATCATTTTTAAATATCTTTTATCATGAAGACTGTTAAGCTCGCAAGAAATTTTGGCCTTCAGGGCATGATTTATGACCAATTTTTATGTTTTATAAATGGTTTTTGAGAATAACATAAAATGAACATGAATGAATTTCCAATCAATCAAATTGAAAAGATGCAAATTAAAAAGAAAATGCAAAACAAAATTGCATTTTTTGTCTCTAATACCCTATTCAGACTAGACTTTGCATTGCGACCGGTTGCGATGTAATCGGTGGTAAACAATTATTCGCAACCATTCGCAAATTTCGACAGCATTCAGACACCTTTTTACTTTGATACTTTACATCACTATCAACGATATAGGTCGTCCTGTTTTGTTTCAATCAGTGCCTGTGGAATCCGTTGCGATCGGAATCCATGGTAATCGGGAGTAATAAAGATTGTAGCACCCAATCGCAATGGGTAACAATTGTGAAATTACTTATCGACTACTATTGGCGAGCTTTCAGACACGATTTTACTTTGCGATTGGGTGCGATTGGGTGTCGCAATTGCTACAACCGATCGCAATGCGAAGCTAGTGTGAGTGGGGAATCAGTGGCATATTAGGAGTCTTGAAATGGGGGTGGGGAGGCTCTGACTGGTGCACAAAGGTGAAGGGCTTTGTGATTAGTTGTGAGGGGGACGCAAGCTCTCAAAATAAAGTAATTTGAGGTGATTTTTAACTACTTAAGCATGATTTTTTTGCTTCAAACATTTTTAAAGATGGAGAAAACTGGGGAAATGGGCATGAGTATCTCCCTCCCCCCTCCCAAACTTGCACATCTCTTGATACACAACTGGTAGGAATACTGAACAGGGCTGAAAATTAGTGGTCGCCCGGTAATAAATCTCTTGGGTATCAGTTGCTGGCGATCCGCTCACAAAAAAGACCTTTAATTTCCAGGGAAAAAAAAAAAGAAATATCTTGCAGTATTTTAGTGAAGACAGTGGTTGCAACAATGTTTCTATATGATTTACAAACACCATTGACATTTACCTCTGAGATGACCTCTGTATAATTAATTGTACATTTTACTTATAGTAGTAGTACTGTATAATTATAACATAATAAATATTGAATTATCAAATCAATGTTAATCTTGCTGGTTTTATTGATTTTGTTTTTTTAGTAAAATTATATTTTGGAATTTAAAAAAGAAATAAGACCAGTATAACATTGGAAGGGCCAGTATCATTTTTTTCTTACTGGCCATGCTGGCCACAATGGCTTGGAGGTTAATTTTCAGTCCTGTACTAAAAGAATTTCTCTAAATTTAGGAGCAAGTTGATAAAGAGGATGCTGATAATAATAAAAAAAAATCTCAATTTCCATTATCAAATAAGAAAAAGTAGTGGCTCTATATGATAATACACTGATGTACACAGCATTCTGGCTTTATCTCGGCCTATTAATTGTTTTTTTTTTTATCAGAGGAATTATAATTGTACATAACAAAAGGTTTGACTTGCTTGTAGTCATTATCATATTGATTATTTCTAGTCAAGAAATCTTTTACATTTTGCAATATAACATTTCCTTATAAATTAGGCCATTTTTTTACCATATTTAATATATTTGAAGTTTTTTTTTTGGTTTAGTAATTGTACCATGAGAGATTTTATATTAGATTTTATTGATTTCTCATATGAAATTTTCAAAACCACTTTGAGATAATGTTCATAGGGTGCCATGTATCATTACCATTATTAACTAGAGCAGTCACTCCATGAGAGTATACTTCCGCCCTGTTCCTAAACACCGAACAATGCAAGCTGTGTATGGGTGATTCTATTAATTTTCTTTTATGCTCAAGGGTAAAAAATAAATTTTCCATGAATTTTACCTTGAGAATAACATAAAACGAACATGAATGAATTTCCAATCAATCAAATTGAAAAGATGCAAATTAAAAAGAAAATGCAAAACAAAATTGCATTTTTTGTCTCTAATACCCTATTCAGACTAGACTTTGCATTGCGACCGGTTGCGATGTAATCGGTGGTAAACAGTTGTAATCCAAATTGTTCGCAACCATTCGCAAATTTCGACAGCATTCAGACACCTTTTTACTTTGATACTTTACATCACTATCAACGATATAGGTCGTCCTGTTTTGTTTGACCTCAGCCAATCAGTGCCTGTGGAATCCGTTGCGATCGGATTCCAGGGTAATCGGGAGTAATAAAGATTGTAGCACCCAATCACAATGGGTAACAATTGTGAAATTACTTATCGACTACTATTGGCGAGCTTTCAGACACGATTATACTCATTGATTATTTCTAGTCAAGAAATCTTTTACATTTTGCAATATAACATTTCCTTATAAATTAGGCCATTTTTTTACCATATTTAATATATTTGAAGTTTTTTTTTTGGTTTAGTAATTGTACCATGAGAGATTTTATATTAGATTTTATTGATTTCTCATATGAAATTTTCAAAACCACTTTGAGATAATGTTCATAGGGTGCCATGTATCATTACCATTATTAACTAGAGCAGTCACTCCATGAGTGTATACTTCCGCCCTGTTCCTAAACACCGAACAATGCAAGCTGTGTATGGGTGATTCTATTATTTTCTTTTATGCTCAAGGGTAAAAATTAAATTTTCCATTAATTTTACCTTGTCCTTTGACCTCTCATTTTTTCTTTCTCTTTCTTACAGTAGTTTACTAAGTACTATTCCACTAAATTTTATGATGATCCATTTCTTAGGTTTTACATAGTAATCTTAGAATATAATGGTAATTTCTATGATTTCTATGAAAATATACACCTCTTTACACAGTAATGGATATTTTCTTAGTTGAGAAATTCTATCAATTTCATTGCTAATAATAATTCATTCAATCTTAGGAAATCTCGGAGAATATAGAAGCAATTAATAATGCCAGTCTATCCAGGTGGTAAATCTATAAACTTACGCAATTTCAGAGAAAACGATAAATTTTTGAAAGGCAGGTCACCGTAGGATAACTGACTTTATATTATCAGAATACATTATATAATTTCTAGTAAACTTATGAAATTAACTATTATTAAATAGAATACTAAATTATTTTTATTATATATTTAAATACCATATAACCACATCTTTATTATCATCTACATTGGCAATTGGAAGAACATATTTGCAGATGACATAATTCAAAGCAAAACAACAAAAATTCTCTGCTCTTTGTACTTTGAAAATCACCATTATATAATTCTCACAGAGACAGGTCACTCCTAATACCACTGTTACCTGGTGAGACCAAAATCAAGTTCAGAGGATCTAAGTTCTCTCTAATCATGCTTTGTTGTAATAGCTCTTTAAGTATATTCATAATTACTACTACAGATATGATTATTATGCAACATATATTCTGTAATAAATGGTAGGATTCCTTTCAACTACAAACACATGACTCAGCTCTGAAGATCTCAACAATGCAATGAATATTTTTTACAGGGTTACTGCCTATCTTCGGCATTGGTCACAGCAACAAATATGAGGTGAGAGTGCCTTGTTTCTGCTTCAGAGATGCGAAGTTGGGAATTAATGTCTCCCAATGCACAACAGAAATATATAAACTATTTAAAATGCAAGAGGACTACTTCTTCAATGCTTTGCTAAGGTACCATGTGCACAATTGATGTTGAAAATGCTGCAAACAGTATAGAATTCTTTTCCAAAGAGAGCTATGTATCAGTGACATATCTACGAAGGAAAGTGGAGGGTGAAACCCCCAACCCCCAAACCAGCAAAGCAAAAAATTGATGCGCAGGGCATTACTAGAAATTTTCTGAATAAAAAATATTCACTTAAAAAACCAGGTTCAAGAGGAATATTGTTTTTGAATGTTTTACAACTGAGTTTTTTTGTAAAATATGCTTTTTGTGTCTTAGAAAAATGGGTTGTATAACACTGAGTATACTGATACTAAAAGTACCGCTGTTTCTCGAGTATAAGCCCATCTCAGCTAATAAGCCCACCCCTTATTTTAAGCCCAATTTCATGTACCAGCCTTTCATCGGCCAAAAGCCAAGAGGATGATTTGCATGACTAGCTTAGCTGAATTTTACAAACACTCTAAAAAAAAAATCAACATTGTCTTTGAATTAGGCATTCATGCTGAGAATTGCCCACCCCCCAAAATCGGCCCAATTTTGTGTTCAAGAGGAATACCAAGGAAATACGGTTTACATACTATAGCATTACTACAACATACCTTCAATTTCTGGAGGATCGGAATGTTATTTACATCACTTATTTTCTCTAGTTTCTTCATCAGCCTAGAGTGCACTTCATCTGGTATTAAACCTTGAAAATAAAAGCAGTTATAAATATAATCAATCAAAGTTGGTTATTTTGATATGTTTCTTTAAAATTATTTTAGGTTCTTTAAAAGCATTAATTTTGTTTGTAACACGCTAAAAACCAATTTCATAATTTAGTAGCACTAACAAAAAAAATGACTATGGATAAGATTGGAAAAAATAAAATAACAAAATATAAGTTATGATGATAAATTAAAAATACTTTAAAGGTAACATATATAAATTACACAGAAGGAAATGTTAATATATCCCAAAATCTGAAGAAAATAAAAAACCGAACAATTTATTGTGAACATAAGGGGAGGGGGGGGAAGAATTAATTATGAAAATAACACATAATATTCTGTCAAGAAAAAGCAAATTGATGTTGAATGCACAATGCAAGAGGTTCACTCAAAAGATTATAAATCCAAGGCTGAAGCCCAATAAAAACAAATTTTACTTTATCATCCTCACCAACACATGGTATTGAAAAAAATAACATTTTTTATTTTTATTTTCTTTTTTTTAGTAAATGGTAGATATTGTTTACGTGTAATGTATTTTACTTTGAATATCAATGCACCAGCAAACACCCCAAGGGTAATTTGGCTTTACCAATAATTACAAATTAAAAGCCTACCTCCTTCACTTTTCCAACATAGATAAGGTAGAAACTAATTATTTTTTTTATTGAGTCTAACCACTGCGTGCCGGAGCAATAAACTTGGAAAAAATAAAGAGTGAATTTGGGTGAAAGGTCATTTTGGGTCAAGTAAATCCAAATTTTCCCCTGTGACACCCACCTCCAATCCCCCTTCTTGATATGTAAAAAGAATAAATTTAAAATTTCAATTTCCAAGAGGTTTTTAAGTTATGACCTTTTGAAATGTTTGTACCAAGCTACATTCTGGTAATGACGTCTTTGACTACTGTATATGGTCCTTAAAGGGAAAGCAAAAGTCAGAATATTGGCAATACTATAGGTCAATTATGGAAGATACAAAGAAACAAGAAGAAACAGAAGGAAAACCAAGACAGGGGAAAGGAAAATGTGGTGTAGAGGGGCAGACTTAGGAAGGGCTGAGCCGACCCTGGCTCCCTCTTTTGGAAAGGAAAGAAAAAGAAAGAAAAACGCCTCAGAGGTTATTTTCGAGCGTTTAGAAAACAACAATTTTACGGGGAATGCCCCTGGACCCACTAGGGCGGTGGTATTTTGATCGGCCTCACTTTTAGCCCCCTTTCGCACCCCTCCCCCTTTTTCATACATATCTGGATTCACTCCTGGTGTAAGTTTTAATCAGCCAGACAGTGAAAAGCAGGTTACAACACAAAAACAAAAAAGAAAATAACATATGAATGGAGTTGAATGAATGGTGAAGACAGTTTAGGGAAGGAAATCTACAGACAGAAAAAAAAATACTTGACACTTCCTACCATCTAGCTCCTGAGACAACTTGTGGAGCTTGTGCATCGGACAACTTTCACAAACAATGTGCGTCTTGATATTATTCATGGCTGCCTGGAAACTCTGCTTCAAGGTAACCAAGATTTCACCAACCTAGATTTAAAAAAATAAACAATAGCCTGTCAAGTTAAACAAAAACATTGCCATTTTAAATTTTCCAAAATTTGTTTTGATGCACCCTATTCCTGTGCACACTGCTGTTCAGTCTCTACATGTAACCCACTATTACCAATGCTGTAGCCAGCTAATGGGACAGTTAATACATTCGCACACAATTTTTCTAATGGGTTCATAAAGAATGGGGCCACATTATTAAAAATGGGTCCAAATTATGCAGTTTTATGGATATGAGTCCACTTTTTGAAAAATGGGTCCATATTCCTCATATTTAGCTAAAATGGGTAAACTTTTATGAATATGGGCCCAGAACTTTCAAATTTTTGCGCAAAATGGGTCAACTTTTAAGAAAATGGGTCCACTTTATTTGAATTTACGAGTAAAGTGAGTCCACCCTGATATTGTCCAGTACTGTTTGAAAATACTGGCTTCGGCATTGCTACTAACATTTTGCAGGTAATGAACGGGCCCATTTTGAAATGTAATTGGGTGATGGATATGATAAGTCTGTATACCGTCTGGGGCGGATTCAGGACCTCTAGGTACCCGGAAATTGCACTCTCATACCTTAAAAATATTACCGGTAATTTATGTCAACAATACAATAATTATTTTTCTTAATACAATTAGGGAGATGAGATCGCACCGTCTGCACCCCTGCATCTGCCCTAGTATAAGCCCTACTTTTTTGCATTAGCTCACCCACTAGTTTATTTCCCATTTGACGTACCAGGATTTCCCGGGATAAAAGAGTGTGATTTTAAGTTAACTCAGTTGCCTTTTTTAAAAACTTCAAGAATTTTTTTTTTTTTAAATCAAGGACTGCCTTTGAATTAGAATTAGACATAGACATACTTGGAAGATTTTCTTCTGATTGGCCGATCCCTACAATTGATAGAAAATGCTGTCAAGTTGTAAAAGCATCGTCATATTCTTTTTTTTTTTGTGAAAAACAGAGCAACTCAATAAAGACATGGTTGTAAGCATAATTGTAATGGTGATGCTTGGCATAATTTAGAAGAATTCTTTGTAAGTCTGTAATTTACAGTAATAAACTTACATCCTTTAAAACAATCACTCAAATTGGGTACATTTAAGAATAAAGAAATAATAAAGAAGGAAAAATATGGGCACATTTCCCATGCAATTATTCTTGCAGTACTATAAATGCAGATATGTAATTGTGCTCAATACAGTTTGTATGTAAAAAAACAACACTGTAAAATGGTAAATCAATTTGAAGGACTTTGTTCAGTTTAATAGGTTGTCAAATTATTAACAATGAATGTTATCACAGATGATATTTGTATAAATGATTATTATTGCTGTTCTTACATGTTCACATCATGATGTAGTCTCATATTGTATAATAAAAAAGCATTCAATTTTCTTTTGATATTTAATTTTTCATTGACATTTTCTTGTTATTAATTTGAAAAAATATGTGGCAAAGACAGGCTAAATCAGTCACTCGTCGCAAAAATTGATTTTTATTTAAATATTAATACAGAGTTAAACAGTAAAATGAGAGTTACAAAATGGTAAAAGAATCATTTACATCCAACATTCATTTTTAAACTTACAGGAGTTTAAACATACAGCAGAAAATTTGAGAAATCAGCCTTTAGTTTTTTATTTTGGGAATTTCTCAGGAAGAAACAATTACCAAGTCATTAAAAATCGTTGATTAACATTGAAAATGGGGAAAATAACCGTATAGCATGATATGTATATAAAGGTTAGTTCCAATGAAATAGATTTCAAACAAATTTGACATTCCAGCATTGTTTTGTTCATTTTTTCTGCAACAGGATTTGTGATGAATGACTGGTTTGGCTTGTCTTTGCCACTTCTATGACAAACAAAATAAATTTTAATTACTTTAACATAATGAAATGGTTGATGGTATATTTAGGCCAAATTACAATAATTTGATGAACAATGGAACAGGCTAGGAATACGCACACATCTAACAAGCACACGTGTTGTTCCATAGCGCATGTGTTTGCCTATGTTTGAAAAAATAAATATCAAAAGAAAATTGAATACTTTTTTATATGTGCACAATATGTGACTACAGCATGATGTATACATGTAAGAACAGCAATAATAATCATTTGTACAAATATCATTTGTGATAACATTCATCGGAAAGAGGCACAATGTAATTAAAAACCATTGTACAGTTCTCCCTCCAATCAAGTAGCACTTTTGGGACCCGAATTTCCATGGTCTTTAGAAGTGTTAAGCCGCAGTCGCACTGGATTTTAAAAAGGGGAAGATTTTACCGAGACACCGGTTAACATTCTGACAGTGAAATGGCAAGGCTGTCCGCACTTGGATTTTCGACTCGGTTAAGTTTCCAGTCCGCGAGGGTAAACCTAGGCCTACTACTACTGCAAGTATGAATTTCACAATTTTAATCAAATCAGGCATGCTCCAATAGTAATAATGCAGGCAAGTGAAAGTAGAAACGATGATATAAATTTAGTTACAATAATACCAACAAGCAGAATCAAAACAATATTCAAAACAGGTTCGTGTCGCGCGAAATTGTGAGAGCGATAAATGTCATCAACTTCACTGACCCCGGAAGATTAACCGAGTCGCACTGTTCGCATTGGACTATCTGGACTATCTGGACTGTCAGATTCACTCCAGTTGTTTTCCTGAGCACAATTGACTCGGTGAAACTAACCATCGACTCGAGTAATTTTCCTGGCCGGAAAACTTCCTAGGTTGTTCGCATAAGACTTTTTATGACTAAACTAACCAGCGTGTCGGTTAGTTTTACCAAAATAAGTCCTTGCGATTGTGGCTTTAGTCTCTAGAATAATAGAGATAAAAGACATTCATGAATTAGGGACCACAGGAAAGTGGTTTTTAATTGGAGGTGGTCTTTAATTGGAGTGATCTTTACAGACAGAGACCTGTACTGTATTTACTTTTCTGTCAAGTTTAATGTGTTTATTAAGATTGTTTTAATTTGATTTAACTGTTTAAGGAATCCTGATTTAGACATTTCATTTCAATTCCATCCAATTCAATTCATTCAGATCACTAATGGCAGTAACAAGACTGAATTGCCTGTGAATTACAGTTTAAATTAACTTAACAGCATTAAGAATCCAAAAATAACAGTTAAACAGTACCAATAAATAACAGCAAAAATACTTTAAAAATAGACGTTTACAAACTGTACAAAACGATTCCAAAAACAAGAAGCAGATTAGGAAATAAAAACAGAATGAATGTAAGTAAAAACATTACAGGATTGGATCAAAAATACAGTGTTATTATTATTATTTATTATTTTGTAATTAAAATTGGAAAGGATTCTGTCAAGATTTTGCAATTTTTGTATATAATTTTGTTAAATAATTTTCTTTATTTGAATTCTTGCAATTTGTACTCTTTGTATTGTATTGTATTTGTAAATATGCCATCCTATAAAGGTACCATTGATAAATAAATGATAATTGACGATATTACATTGACCATTGTATACTTACTACTGGCTCCGACTGGCACTTGAAAACGTAGCACATGTAACTTCCTTTTTCCCGACAGATAAACCCAAAATATGCCGGGTGTTTTATTCCCTAGAAAGATAAAAAAAGAAATGTGAATAGAATGGTTCACGTCGAACTTTATCTAGATATACCTGTCTTGAAACATGATACGATAATCCCCTAATTGCGCTCAATGCCAAGTTAGAGCCAGATAATCATCCAGCCAGTTTCAGGCCGTCGACGTCACACGGTGGAAAGGCTTGTTTAATAAAACATCTACTGTATTTTACGAACCTCTAGTACCAAATGGTATTCGTTCAAAAAAATTGTAAACTACTGTAGAGAAGGTGTGAGTTTCCACTACCTAACCTACAGTAGCCGACCAGTACGCACTAACGACAGTGCAGCAGAGTGTTCTATCGCAATCGAAGTAGTCGATTCTCAAGGCCCAAGCTAAATTGACCTTCGATAAAAAACGAATTATTTTAATCGCTAGGTAGCATTCTTCCATTTAACAAAATATTGTTTTAATTTTCATTAAAACGTCTGTATACTTTATGGACATTTCTGTCCTGTTTTGTAGTTATTAAATCGCTAAATTGTGTTGTTGAAACTGAATTAATAGCGACTATTGTAGCAGAAATGGAAAAGATTGAATTGTCAATAAATAAATACAACAAATCTGATTTTATTATTGAGAAAAATATACATTATCACTTTGAAAAACGCATGCAATCGGACTTTTAACGTTATTACTTGGTCAATGATGCAAAGGGCAAAGGTCATTGGTAATATCGACTATTCGTAAAACGGACGTTTGCTGGGTTTTTACCCATAATATTACAAATAATTTCTGAAAACCAGACTAATGAGACTACTGTATTTTGATGCTGTTGTTAGCATTGTTGGAGTACGTTGTTGCCAGCCAGAAGATGATAATGGTGGTACAATACAACAACGCTGGCTTAGATGCCTACGTTACGTAATCGTGTCCTTGTAATCCAAGCCGACTTTACCGTTTAGCAAGTTAATTTACCGTTATTCTAGTAAAGTTAAGTCGCTTAACTTAAGTGACTTAATTCCTTTATCTAGCTATAATCGAACTTTTAACAAGTTAAAGTGGATCTATATCTAGATAAAAGTTTGACATGAACCGGGCTAATATAATAACATTTATAAATTAATGTGGAGGATGATTAATCAGATGTGTACAATATTTTTCCCCACCCCTTAATCTCGTTTTTCACCATAGCGGTGATTCCAGGGATGTCTGAAAGAGGGCTAATGGGGGTTGATCGGGAGACAAAACTACCCTAGAGGGATCCAGGGCACATCTGACCTCCCCTCCCCAATTTTTTTGTTTTCTATATGCCCAGATGTACTTTTCTTTCCATTTTCTTCCTCTATGTCTTCCCTTTTATTCCTACCCTTTATATTTGATTTACATTCTTCCTTCTTTTACACTTTCTTTTTTTTTTCCCTCTTTCCTTCATTGTCCCATTCTTCTTTCCTTCCATTTCCTCCCATTTTTCCTTCCCTACTTTCCTTCCTCTTATTCACAACTTCTTCTTCACTGCATTCCGACTACTTTTTATTTTCCTTCTTCCCATATATCTTTCACTCTCTGTAGTTATCTGTTTTTACATCATTTCTTTTCCCAACAACTCAACCAGCACAGATCTACTTCAATTTGAATCATGTATTTGTATGTAATCTCCCTAATGGACAGGTTTATTCAAATACAAAATGTACATTTCATATGATTTTAAATTCCTTGCATGCAGTATTACAGCATGCAGTAGTTTGATACTTTCTATGTTGATTGAAAAAATCATTAAGAAAAAAAAATTGAATATTTTAATTGCCTATTTGTATTATCAATTTCCTTACACATTAAAACAGCAGATCAAGATATAAATATCATTTCTATGCTGCACACAATAATACCATTCATTTTATTAATTGGTTAGACAAGACTTTTTTTTATGGATACCTTGTTTCCTGAACTTTTTTTGGATTGTCAGAGGAGGGCAGAAAAAAAATTTAAAAAAAATCTTGTTTTCTTATTTAGCAAATATTTTTGACAAAAACATCTAGATGGAGGAGAAAATTAAAATAAAATGTTATACAGGTGGATGTATAGTAGTTTAGTAATGGGATGTTTAAATGCAAATGCTTCAAATTTCTATAATAAAGGAGAAATAACTCATATTTTTAAACTGGGAAGATTTAACTGTGGCATTTTTTTTTCTGAAATTTCTATTTTTCATGGCAGCAGATGTGCTAATTTAGCCAAAAATCAAATTTTATTTTTATTCAAAATCATCATTATTGGCAGGTGATGGGTTTGCTAAACTCGCTTTAGTAAGAATTTTTACTGTCAAGTCAGTAGGATCCAGATTGTTTTGATTGTATCTCATTGAAATTAGTATTAAAATATTTGAACACAAAAAAATAGGTTGTAGGTACTCTTGTGGGAAAAATATCTTCTCAAAAACAAAATCTACATTCAATGAAAGAATCATTAAATGTTGATTCAAACATTATGTTGTTAGTAATTAACAGGAACAAATAATTTATTACATAAATTATACAGTATTCTGTTATAAGGATTAAACCATAGCGTTAATGAACTTTGAAGCTTTCTTCCCAGTTTATACTATTGCCAACGATCACCACACTTGGGAGATGAAATCATATTGAAGTTAATTACAATACATGTAGAAAACCACTCAATATCACAACAATATGTAATGCAAAATTCAATCCAAAATTCACACTCAACATCTTATCTCGTAATATTTTTTGCATTGAATACATTTTGAATAGTATTTATGTGTTTTATTATTAGATTTGAAATGATTTTACTTTTTTCTATCTATTTTTTATTTATTTTTATTTCACCTTGTATTCCTTGGCAGGTGGTGTGGTATAAATTCCTGTATTATTATTATTATTATTATTATTAATATTATTATTATTATTATTATTATTATTATGCATTTTATTAGCTTTGAAATGATTTGTTGTTAACTTTAAAATTTGTTTATATCTTTAATGACCCAATAAATGCAAACAATGCTGAAAACATTCTTGAAGGATTCAAAGGGGCACATATTCAGGAACGACTCATTACTTGGAAAATTGGGCATATATTCAAAAACTGTTAATATGGAACCTTGTGTTGTACATAGTTCTATACGGCTCGTTCAGTGGTGGCCCCTTGAAATTATGACAATTTAAGGGTTTCAAAGACTACCTCAATCGATGTTAGAGTCTATGTAAAAAAATGTAATTTTTTCTTCTTCCTGATGAATTGTTTTTTCTCCCAGACGGGGCAACCAGCCCACCCCCCTCTCAACTGGTGCCACCAGTGTTGTGGTGGTGTGTGCTCACTTTATGGTTGTGTTTATTATAGTATACGGTGCTTAATAGATTTCCAGACAATGACTGATACTGTACTTGATACTATAAAGCCATATTCAGATTTCATGCCATACTTAAATGGATGTGCCAAAAATTATTATCATTATCATTCACCTGATTTCCTTACATGGTTTTGTGTGAATTCTGGTCTAGAAAATTAAAAAATATTATAAATTAAAAGATAAATAATAGCTTGGCAGTATTAACAAAATAAAAAAACATCCCTAGTCACTTTTCAATTTGTATAGCCATTGATTCTTTTTATTAGCTATGACTCAACTCCAACCAGAAACAAATTTCTAAAACTGTTCTCCTTATAAGGAATGATAAGATCATCCCTGAAGAGGCTGGTGAAATATGACACAAAATCAATCAATTTATATTGTACCCTTTCAACACAAGACATCATCACACAGACTAAAACATTGCAGACAACAACATAGAGGGGATGCAGAATCCTACCACATACAGCAATACAGACAATTAAAAGAGGGAATTTCCAAGGCATTTATTTGACAGAAATTTGTAAGTTATATTAATCGTGTGTACAGTGAGTGAAGCTATCACATAATTAGATTGGCTGTTTTCATTAACAGCATTAACAGCAGCAACATTTTCAAAAAATGTATTGCCACTAGCATCCGCACCAATCTTAATCGCAATTAGTGAGAATTCCTTCAAATCACATGCCCTACAGTATAACTCAAAAAGATAGATTGCGAGTGTGATTGTAATGACAAGGCATAAAGAGCATCATCATAATGAAAATCATTCCCATCAACTGTAAAGGCCAACTCAGACAGCGTCGTATGACCCAGCCCGACACGATTCATCGTCGTAGACAGTCATGAGAAATATTAAAATGTATGTTTAATATTCTGCGACACGACTGCCCCAGACGCAAACCATCGCATATGCGTTTAACTCACAGACCCGACATGACAACAAACCGCCTCTGGCTGCATCGTACGACGCTATCTGAGTTGGTCGTAACGCGACATGAAAAAACACACAGTATTTATTTTTAGATCATTCTTCCTTGAACTTCCAGTGCGAGAGTTCACGTTCTGGCAATTTCTGCCAGTGAGTTTACGTGCAATATAGTGGTATGTTTAGACAGATGTGGATGTGAACTCGCGTCCTTGGCAGCAAGAGTGAACCCTTTCGGACGTGAACTCGCATCCCTGGCATCAAAGGTGTAAAAAACCATCACTCATATTAAATTTACAATAATTTTTTTTTGTTCTTAAACTGGATATTATAGAAAAACTTTGTGTTATAACATAGATGATTTGTACATGAATGGCGTGAACATAAACAAACCAGGAAATGTAAAATTTCTATAGTTTAAAGAATTCTGACAAATTTCAGGCAAAATGTTGAACCAGCAGGGAGGAAAAATGTTGAACCAGTAGGGAAGCAAAAAGCCAAACTGATAAAAAAAAAAAGTACTTGAAATAATTTTTTTACATTTTTCCTCTCATTTTCTAAAGTGCATCCTTAATTTTCAATAAAACGGTTTTTGTATCAGTCAGTATATTTTTACTGCGGTGTCACCTGCTAGCGAGTAATTTTAATGTGTGACTTTAGGCCAATGTAAGTATACCGCTGCCAGATGGATGTCTAGCTAATTTGCGTATGTGTACAGAAGTTGCCTGTGCGCA